ATGCCCTACTGAGGGGTAATTGCTTTCTCTCTCCATCTCTCTCTGTTTCTCTGTCCTTTTCTCTGGTGACTGCATGCATGCTCTGGCAATTAAAGAAAAAAAGAGGAAGAAGAAAAAATATCTTTTTTGGTGAGGCATATGATCAAGTATTTGGCCCATTAAAAATTTTTAATCTTCAAATTTATTTTGTTCATGACAGCATGTACACATATGTGAGATAGAGAAAGAAGCATGACGACAGGGTCCCATCATGCTTCAGTGCCTCCTCCAGTCCTCCAGCTCACTGGAATCCTGGGCCCACACACACAAGTGCCCAGTGTATCTCTGGCCAATCGTGGGAACCAAACCCAGGGTCAACCATTTGGCCCCCCATGTGCAGTTCAGCTTGCCATCAACTGTGCCACCAGACTGGGCCTCATTTTTAATTTTTACCAGGCCCTTTTTCTTTTTATTATTAGTACATAGGCTTTCCTATGTTCTAAAAACAAATTCTTTGTCAGACAGAGGTATTGCAAGGTTTTCTTCCAGTCTGTGGCTTGCCTTTTCTTTTTTGTAATGGTGACTTTGGTGAACAGAAGTTTGAATTTTGATGAGGTTTGAGTTCTTAAAAAAAGAAATTGATCAGGTCTAGTATGGCATAATAGTTATGTTGCTGGACTCCCACGTAGCTGACTGTAGTTCACGTCCTGGACCCAGTGGCTAAAATTCACACTGGGCACACATGCATGTGAGTCCAAAAGACAAGGAAGAAGGTACCTGCATTTCCTTTAGGAACCTCTGCTTACAGCCTGTTGTCCAACGTATAGTCACATCACCACTCCTAACTGCAACGTGGGCTGGATACACAGTTTTTAATCTCAGGAATCCATGAGCGTACCCATTTATTAGTAAATAGGAGAGATCCAATATTAGGAGAGAGCTAGGTGTTTCTTCCAATGTGTTTCTCACAGTATCTAATTTCTTTTTATTTATTTATTTATTTGGAGAGGTTTTTGCTACAGAGCACATGCGCTTACCAGGAAAACAGAGAGAGACAGAGAGACAGAAAGCGAGAAATCACTCCCTGGGGGAGATGGCCACGCTGCAGTGCCCCCTTCTCCTCCATTCTCCTCTCAGGATCTTGGGTACACATGCACATGTGCCTGGCATGAGTTTAAACCACCTGGTCCAGGACTCGATCCACGGTTGATTACATGGGAATCCAGTGACATAGCCATTACACCAATTGCTGGATCCCAGTGCCTAATTTCTATAGGTGATTGGATATAAAAGAATTGAGAGACAAAAATCAGGTCTGGAAATAAAGATTTGAAGGCTTACAAATGTTATAGCTTTTTTTTTTTTTTGAGAAAGAGAGGAAGAATGTGAAGAGAAAGAGAGAACTATTTAAAAAAATGTTTTATTAATTTATTCCAAAGAAGAAGGAAGAGAGAGAGTTGCAGCTCTCCTGATAGGAGCTCGATGCTGTGATCCACCCCTAGCTTCAGCCAGACTCAGATCACGGGCACACGTGTGCCAAGTATAGTGAGGGAGAGCGCTAGAAGAGAACCAGTAGCCTTCCCATCTGGGTTAGCCTTGCAGAATGTTATGTTTTACTGCTGCTGTCCAGCCCCTAAATCTTTGACATTATCTCACTACTTAGCAATCCTTCCTGCCCCAACTGCCCAGTTGCCTGGATCACAGGCATGCCGTGGTGCCCAGCCCATGTAGGTTGGGCTGGGAACCAAATCTGCACCTCCCTTGCACCCCAGTCATTTCGCAGCCACACCCTCGCACCTGTGCCACTGCAGCTGGGTCCAGTTACAATTTAAGAGAGGATGACACAGCCTGGAGGGAATATAGAGTGAGAAGGAAAGGTCAAGGAGAGACAGACCTCTAGTGAGTGAGTTTAACGATTATATGGAGGAGGATTCCATATGGCCTGAGAAAGAAGGAAGAGGCATGAGCTGGTATTGAGGGCCCATTTGAAGGAGAGTGGTCAACCATGGGTGGGGAGAAGAGATGCCAATTAAGACAAAACTAAGAAGTTGTGATTGTCCTGTTCCAAATCAAAGACTGTCTCAAGTTTTTTTTTTTTTTCAGACAGAGATTTGTGTGATGGAATGACCTTCCGAAGCTTGGAATGAGTGTAAATCTCATTGTAAGGACGTGATGGCAAATTTAGGCAGCACTGGTGAAAGACACAGCTCCTCACCCCTCCTCAGTGAGCGACAAGGTCACACCTGAATAGTGAGGTCACATATCATGTCTGTCACTATGGTTGGGTAGCCAGGGGCCATATGAGGCCCTGGGAAGGAAAACAGAACTCAGCCAGAAGGCTCAAGGCACTAAGGGTTTAACCTTTGCTTTTGCTTTTTTTTTGAGCAATTGGGTCCATGTGCTTGCCAAAGAAAGAGAGACGGGAGAGAGAAAAAGTGAGAGATCACTCCCGGGGGTGGTGGTGGGATGACCATGGCACAGCTGGCCCAACCTTATCTTTTTGTCTGAAACTAGGGAAGGAATCAAAATGAACACAAAAATGGATTCACACATGAGCAGAAAGATATGTAAAAGGGGGCCGGCTCTGTGGCGTGGTGGTTAAGGCAGCTGGATCCCTCATGGCTGACCATGACGTTCAAGTCCTGGACTTGACAGCTTGAGAAACACACTGTGGGTGTGTGTCCCAGATCCAAAAGGATGGAGAGATGGAGGAAAAGGGATTGCATATGACCGTTCCGGCGTGGGATGCTTGCTCCCTTCCCTCTCTGTCTCTCTCTCTGGTGAATGCATGTGCCCTCTGGCAAACATAAAACAAAACAAAACAAATATGTACAAGGATGTAAACCGTAGCATTCTTTGTGATTAAAAATTAGAAACAACCGAAGTGTCCATCAACTGAGTGTGGACAAATAAATTGTGTTGTAGCTGCTCAGTGGGCTTTATTTGGCAGATAAATTGAATAAACTACATCTGTTTTATCAACGTGTATAAAAACAATGTGGAGTGAAAACAAAGCATGTTGCGGCATAAAAGCAGCTATGTAAGTTTTAAAACCATGTAAGGAAATCCTATAATTTTTTTTTAAAAATTAGAAACATAAATATAGTTTAGGTAAAAACATGGGCCAGGAGAGTACTTACCAAATTCATGCTAGTGATTGTCTTGGGGAAAGGGAAGATTGAGATTGGGAAGAGGGACCAAAGGAATTTCTACTTTATCTGTATTGTTCTATTTCACGTATGAAATCTTTGAGCATATAAAAAGTGGTCAACTTATTTACTTCTTAGGGAAATGTAAATGAAAGCCACAGTAAAAATGAAAAAAAAAATGGGGAAGATGTAAAAGGAAGAGGAGGAGGAAGAGAAGAAGAGCACAGGTAATATACCATCATAAACTCACTAATATGGCTAAAATTAACAAGTCTAACAATATCATATGTATGCACATAAATATGGAGCAACTAGAACTCTCATACAGTACTGGTGGGAATATATTGTATTTTCATTCAGCTACACTGGAAAACCAGAAGTACCTTTGAAAGCTGAACAGTGTCTATCCCTTCTGAAACTCCACTCCTAGGTGTAAGTCCAACAGAAGTGAGTACCAAAAGAAATGTACAAGGATGTTCATAGCAGCTTTATTTATGGTAGCCAATGACTAGAGATAGTCAAACCAATATATATCTGAGAAATTCTTGATCACTTACATGAGGGGACAGGTGCAAGAATATTAATTGCAGCACTACAACAGCAACAATGGGGTGCGGATGGCAAGAGGCAACCCATCTCTCCTGGGTGGAAATGTGGTCTTCATTGTCATTCTCTCAGTAAAGAGTCATGGCTGCTAAAAAGTGGAGTTGTCTTGTTAACTATTCTGAAGATCAGTTTGACTGATTAGTGAGACCATGAGTCATCACGTAAGTGCGGGACTGGGGTGTCTACCACCCTGCGCTTCAGCTCTGGCTAAGAAAGAAGAGGTGCCTTTGGAAGGTAGCTCCTTGGTCTCAGCCCCCCAGATTGGGTGGGGCTCTGTTAGTTCAGGACCTCACCAGTGGGTGCCCCGGGCCAGGCAAAGAGAATGAGGGAGAGAGAAAAAAGGAATTTACACAGGAATGGGGACAGAGGAAGGAGGAAGAAAGATAAAACAAAAAAAAAGGAGAGCGATCTGTTATCTGCTCTCCTATTTGGAGCCCTCCCCTTAGCGCTCGGCGGGGAGGATTCCACTGGGGAGGAGGGTGAGTGTGGTGAGGCTGAAAGTGGTTCCGAAACCAGGCATGCCTGCCTTTCGGCCACTCGGTGACTGACAAGCGACGTAATCTCTGTGCCTTGGTTTCCTCACGTGTAAGACAGGTTCCCTTCACCTGTAGGAACCGCCCTAAGCAGTAATCCTGCCTGCCGGAGTTGGGGCGGTAGCGGTGGGGGTTGGGGGTGGTGCAGGCCAAGTCCTGACCCCCGGGAGCTGCTCCGTCCGGTGAGAGGCCAGGCTTTCCCCTGATGCCAGGCAGTGGGTCAGAGACCCTCCTAGCGCTGTCCAGCAGGACTCTGCCATGAGGGCTATGGCGCACTAGCACGAGGAGGGACTGGTTTTTATCCATTTTAGCCGCTTCGCATTTAAATAGCCACCTGCCGCGATAACCAGGGCGTGGCGCAGACCAGAGTTATTCTCGCCACGATGGGTGCCCATCATGGACAGGGGCTCATCCTGTGTGTGCACCGCAAGGCCCTGATCGCGCGGCATCTACGCGGTCTTTTCTTCCGGAATAAACCCTTCTTGGGTTGATTAAAGTCGGGGCTGGCGGGAACAGCCAGGACTGCAGTCAGGCCCCCGCGATCCGGAATGGGAGCTCTTAAGGACTCCATCTACCTCTGTCCCTCTGCCCACCCTCCACTCTGCCCACAATCTTCTAAGTCCCTCGGGGGACGTGGCGGGGCGACCTCTGCGTCTCCGACGCGCGCTGGGTCTCCCACCGCTGGTGGCGCCTCTGTCCTCCCAGCTCCCCGGGAGACCGCCTTTTCACGTCCATGTCCCAGATGCGGAAACTGAGGCTCGCAGGCGTTGGGGAGGCGACTCAGAGGACTACGAGGCGGAGGCAGCGGAGCTTGAACTTTGCAGCTCTGGCGATGCCAAAGACCTCTCTGTGGGTCGGGTTGTCAGAGCGCGGGGGAAAGAGGCAAGTAAATATTTGGGGCCGTAACCCGGGATTCGGCGACTCCTCGTCACTGCGGTTCCACGCCGGGCGCGTGGCGAGGGTGGGGCCGCGACGACAGGGGCGTCCCCGCGGGAGGCCGGGACAGACCCGGCGGCCCCGCTCCTCCGACCCCGCCCCGGCCCCGCCTCCGCCTCCGCCCGCGGCTATACGACCGGGGCCCGCCGGGGGCACGGG